GGGAAATAAATCTTGTATCCAATATATAAAAATAATTTTTGCTTGTTTCTCTAAATTAGATACAGCTGATTTAACCCCCTTCCCCCCTCCCATTTCTGCCCCATTCATTGCCAAACTACATTTTAAAGCAAGGTTTTCAGTACAAAAAGTGAGCACTGGCTATCAATACTTTGTGCATCGCTTGTAGAGTTTCATATCTTATGGGGGTAAGGGGGAGGACTAAGTTATAAATCATAACAAGTACTGCTCTAGAAACTTCATGAGCCATTTTCTAAATCCAAAGTCAAGTTCTCTATTGTGGTAAGCACTAACTTCAGAGATCGTTACAGTGTCTAAAGTAAAGGAGAGTTTGCAAAGAAACTAAAGACGGTATAAATTTGATTTTAGACTACTGTAAAGTTCACAAAAGTAACTGACGTGCTAGTTAGTATTTTGCTTCATCAAAAATATTGGCTAAATCGGTAAATAATATTTAATATTATTTCCTCTTTCTAAATCCTGAAACAACAAATGAATATTTCTTCAGTACAGCCAGGTTGGTACATGACCTGGTTTGTTAACTTTCCCGGAGAGACTCAAAAGTAAAGCATACTAAATATTCCCCATTAAGTGATTTTTACAACTCTCTGAAATGGTGTTATTTTAACTTCCTAATTGGCATTCTTTAACTTTTGGTTTTGTCTGTTTATGAAGGTATCATTAGTCTGAAGAATTGTAGAATTGAAGTTTATTCTATTTTTTTCATCTTTGATTTTACTCTATAGAACAGCTGAACTTCTAATTGCTGATTTTAACTTAATAAAATAATTGGTCCTCATTCAAAATATTACACTTTTGCTTTGTAGTTTGCACTGTTAACCATGACACATTAATGCTTGAGGATTTTGCTAATAGTTCAGTGACAAAGAACATTATTTGTAATTTTTTTCCAATGTGTAAGAATATGTAAAGTACTTTTTCCCCTCCTTAAAAAATCAAATAAACAGATAACAAAGTATTATGTTCGATTCACCAGGCTAACAAACAAAATTTAAAAGACAGCTTTATCCCTCAGTAATTTGCACCCTCATTTTTAAAACTTGAGAAATGAAAGAGAGGATTTTGTTAAAGGCATTTCATTCATATAAACTGAGCACTTTGTTCTATATGGTCTAAATTCCAGCAATGAGATAAATAAATTGCTACACTGTATAGAACATAATTATTGAATTTTGGCAGAACTTCAGTGAACTCTGCCATGAAAGATTAATGTATACAGTGCACTCTTAGATTCTAAAGTAACAGAGTTAGATAAGAGGAGCACATACCAGACTCCAAACTTCATGGGTTAGAGAAAAAAGAAGACGATGTGCTAAATTAAAATGTTAGTTTTGTTATAAGGTACTAATGGTAATATGTTGTCAGCTCAGTGATAAAAAGTACAGTAAACGACTAGAAATCTCAATTTAACATGAAATTATTTTATTTATTTTTTATCTTCAGACTTTTAGTATTATATAAGAGTAGTATGATTGCTGTATATTCTTATGCAAGGGGAATACAAGCATGCAGACTACTTATAGTGTGCAGTGGTGTAATTTACTGTATTAGCATGTTGCGTGCGCTTTCTTATTATATTTTTTTTCCTGTGCAGTGATTTGAGGGTCTGAATAAAAATGCATGAGTTTGCACAGAGACTACATGCAGACAAAATAGTTCTTGATTATATTCCCTTCTCTGTTCTTTCTGCAGCAGACTCTCAAAAGTTTACAAAGTTTGTTTTAATTGACAAATTGTTGGTATAACTACACCATATTCTGATTGGTTATTAAATAATTACTGTATCCAAATATTGTTTTTAATTGAGAACAGTGGTATATGGTATTAGGTTTGTCAAATATCCCAAGAAGGACGAATAGAATTACGTAGCCTTTTTAAATATCTGCAACCACATCTCTAAGGGAAAAAATGGACAAGGATTTAACCCTGCCCTTCTTAAAATGGCCATGATATACTAATATGACCCAGAAAACCCCTGTTCCTGGTAGTAATTCCAATGTCAACTCTGCATTCTGCACACAGCAATCACCCAGATATTCAGTAGTTTCTGGGTGTGGGAGGCCTTTCTGGCCAGATGGCGATGCTCTCTTTTCCCTTCATGCACCATGTTCTTCACCAGTCACCAGCTGCAATCCAGATTCCAGTTTACTACTTTGCAAGTAACTGAGTGGACAAGCTCCATGTGAACGTATGTGCATGCACACTACAGGACTAATGGGTTCAAGGGGAATTGCCCTAATAAATCCCATCAAATCTACAGTCTGAAATGAGAGGGATTTGGGCAGTGTGTCCATGGGAGTGTTTGCTTGCTCTTTACCCCACCACCAGGCTGTTACCTGCAATACTGTGAATTACGGTAGAATGAATTCATATCTATATTTTAAAATGTTAATGGCTCAGCATCTTGTAAAAATCCCATTTCTTCTAAGGCACCGTTCATCTCATTCCCAGACACATCCCTTATCATGCTATTCTCCTATTAGCAATGCTAGTGAGTGTGGCAGTTGAGGAAATGGGAACACATGGGGCTTGAGCTAAAGCTCATTGTAATCACTGGAAAGAATCCCGTTGACTTCACGGGGCTTTGGATCGTACCCAAGGTGAGCAAGCCTTTGTAGGGTGCACATTTTTCTTTCTTTCCATGACTGCTTAACCATTTATGGTGGAGCGTAATTTTCCTACTCCCCTGTGTAAGTGTCTCTTTGCTTGAAACAAAATCAGCATCTATCTCATTTAAAAGCTGAAGATATGATTCTGGAGATTTTACTTGGTTCCTGATTGTAGTACCATCTTCTACAAACAGCCCCATTGTCTTCACTGGCCTGACTTGTGGAAGATGGTGGTAAAGTTAGGAAGGGTGGTCGAATCAGCTCCGAATTTTGTGTAAAGAGGTAGCATCTAACAGCCTTTTTTTTCCAGCCAGTTTGCATTCTTTTGTTTCTAAACTTACTCCCATGACCTTGCTTTGATTAGATAAAGCAGTGTCACTATTTCCAATTTATTTATGTTGGTGTGCCAGCTGGTTAAGTATGTGCTAACACATTCTCACTTAAAAAACTACATCAGATAAAATATTTCCAAGATTAATCAGATTTAAATTCCCAGATCCATTGTTTGATAATTAAAAACACCTTTTTTCCCAATAAAGTTGATTTCAAGTGGTCCCTAAGATGCAAATGATAAAAATGAATATACAAAATAAACTTATTTTTGAATAATAGTTGAGCACTATTGAATGCTTGACAGGGTTTGTAGGCCTTATGAATTTATCTAGTTTGCAATACATTTTACAAGATATGTATGAAGTGTGCCTGTTTTTCCAAGTAGACAGTGGTCCTTTTACATTTTTAGTTTTGTGTGATTCACAAAAATGAAAATATTTTTAACAGTGTAAAACAGTTACCGTAGATTAGGGAATAGGAGAAAGAGTATTCTCTCTCCTTCACGTGGACAACCAGTATGTTAAGACTGTGAAAGCAGGTTATAATTTTATAACAATATGGTTGTGGCCTATTAACCTTCTTAATTCCCCAAGGATATTCAAAATATTTCTTGCAAAGGGCTAGCTGTGTGGCCCAGTGCATGTTCTATACAGCAACCCATCCAGCATTGCACTATTATTGAATATATAGTACTTGGGTGCATTTGTAAAGGGATGCCCAATATGCATAGGTGTGGCACACAAGCCTTTGAAGTACGAAGAAGATAGATTAATGGACACATCTTACCCTCCTTTCCCAGCAGATATGGAGAACCTTGGATGCAGCAGAATCAATGCTGCTATGGGGTGGGAGGCAGCAGAATTTGGACAGCCTGTGCAGGGAATGCATGCCTTCTAGGTGCTACTGTGCACGGTCATGGAGGGATTTTGGTGGTGGGAGGGCAGGAGAGAGGCCAAATAGATTTGTGGATCCATTAGTGATTCCTCCACACAGAAAGAGAGTGTAGTGGCTGAGGTAGTATCCAGGAATCAGCTCCACTGTTTCTCTGTCTGGAAGGGGGAGAAGAATCATTCATTCCAAACCTCAGGGCTCTTGACAGCACAGTGAAGTTATTCAGGATTTGTTCCCAAGAAGAATTCTCTGTGGCTTCATATAATCCCGTAAAATTTAATTTCTGAAATGTGGGTGAAAATATTAGTCAGGTGAATGTGTTTTTATTTTTATGATAGTTTGAAATCTTTTTTCTCCAAACATATTAACTGATAAGCTGATGAAAGTATGCTGATGTGACATTTATAGCTCTGTTCTTAGTTAAATGAATGTTATGAAAATAACATAGAAATTTATACTAAAATATGGTAGTTTGGCTGTATCATTATGTTCAAGGGTTACTCTTTTTTATACTTCTTTGAGGGAGAAAAAAACTATTTGGAAAAGTTGTACGAGTGTCCATTTCTGACTGATGTGTCCTTGGAGAGTCAGGGATTCCTGTATCAGAGTTAAATACATTACAAGTAATCACTGTCTCCCCTCCCAGATGGTACATAGAGATGTTTGCATGTCCACCTTAGACACACTGAGAATTCTGAAAGAGTGATATTGAAAAAAGGAATGTAAAAATAATGTACAAATCTGGAACTTCATCCTTTGTCAGAAATGAATGATGGGGATGTAAACAAGCAAAACATTTACTTTTCCCTTGTAAGCCAAAAAGACCCAGATTACCATAAGATCAAGATATATGCAGCTTATGAAATATTTTTGACTGAATTGAAATATTGTGCTGGCATATTAGAGTTTTAATTGTCTTTTGTAATCACAGGGTTTGACTACAAATGCAAGATGAAGTATGATTATGACACTAAAAGTCTGAAATAAAATGTAAAAAAAACCAAACAGAAACCAAACCAAAATAAAACCCCACACAATTCATCTAATTTGAAGAAATAAATTAATTTACTAAATTACACTCTGCAGACTAATAAACATAATTTTTAATGTATATCTTTATGATTTCAGAACCAGACAAGACTATTTTAGATGCACGCTTATTGTGATATCCTCAGTGGTAAGTACCTTAACTGCAATCAAGTTTATTACACTTTTTGTTGAGGAAAGGCCTTTTTTAAGACCACGCTTGCTGCAGCTTAATCACATAACAACTTTATATGTAGTTCTGGAATAATAGGGTAGTAATGTGATATACTCTATAATGCAAATCAGAGTAAAGCACAGGTGGTTGTTAGCATTTGTGTGGTCAGATATAAAAGCTTCACTATGGGCACAAGCTACTGCTTTCCTACTTGAGTAAAATGCAATTAAAAGTGGTTTCCAGATGTGCTGGCACAGATCTGCTTCTTTTGAAAGTAAATTTTGCAAATACAAAATAAAATATGTTGTATTCATCACCACTAAATTGTCAGTGGGTTTTTAGATAATAATAAAAAAGATTAGAAGTATCGATATTGCCTTTGTAAGTAAGGTATGCTTAAGAAATGTAGAGTAGCATTTCATGTTTACATTAGATTCTTTTCCATATTTTTTATGTGTTCCATAGTTAATTCACTGCCAGTAAACTAAATCAATTCAAAGAAGAATTTAACATTGTATCACCAAAACATGAAAAGAAAGATTAAGTTTAAAGAGACATCTCCATGTTAGGTACTATTATTGTTTACCTCCAACAGTGTGCAGATCTCTCTGCAATACACAAAGAAAATCCCTGCCCCAAACAGTTAGATTTGAACTTCCTTATTTCTGCTAGAAATTTAATTTTCAAGTCCAAAAACACAAGTTACTGCTTTTTTATAGCTTTGTTACATTTTTGTATAGGTAAATACAAATATCAGACAACATGCAGAAAAATGCTACATGCTGAAAAGATACCCTTTAATTTGTCTCAGAACACAAAAGAGAAGAACAGTCAATCCATCTAGGTATTTATAATGCACCCATCAGTTTGATATCCAGCACAAATTAAATTTAGTCAAAAATTCAGAAGGCTAGACGTGTTCTAGACATTCTCCATTACAGAAGCATTAGCCAGTGCAGCTACTCAGTCTGAGCAAGTGTCAGAAAGGCACACTCAGACACTTTCATATCTTTAAAATCACCATCACAAGTACTGAGACATATACCTCCAAATGAATTATGAAAAATGAAGGCTGGGGCCCATGAGCTCTGGAGGCTGGGATCATTGATCACACTGCTAGAAACAAGTAGAGTCTTGACAGGTATCAGACAAAAAATTTCTTGAGTTTCAGAAGCTAGAACATAATCTGGATGAATTTTCCTAGCTGTTTCTGCAAATGTAACACCTCGTGTGTTTCCCATCAGGTGAGAACCTGACCTCTTAAGAATCTTGTTTTAGAGGAACCTCAGCAATGGAGAAATCAATATTTTCTGAGCATTTGACCATATCTTTTCTTCTTAATAATATATGTGCCCTCATGTATTCATTCTTCCATTTAACTTTAATTTCAGTGATTAATGGGTAGATTGGACTGTTTACTCTATTAGATGGAAATTAGTCCCTATTTCATGGGCTCTTACAGGATTATTACAGATCCTTCATTTTAGAAATCTCCCTTAGGTCCTGTTACTGTTAGGAAAGTATTTGCCCTAGTTGACTTTTCTGGGAATAAAACATTTTGTAGTAATTTTATTAATATTATTGTGATGATTTTATATGAATTATTAAACATTATAAAGTGAATCTTAAAAACAGATTTAGAGATGGGATCACACTTCAAACCTGCTATTGAAGAGAGCAAGCTGTCCTGTGCATTTTATTTTCAACAATAATGCACTGACATACAGATATTATAGGTATTAACATAACACTGGTTTCCTCTAAACATTGTAAACTCTCTAGGACTGGAACTTTTTGTTTTATGTTTGTACAGCACTTAGCACAATGGAGTCTTGGTCCATGAGTCTGGCTCCTAGGCGCTACAGTCCAGGACAAATAGTAAATAATAAAGGTGATAAGCACAGCATAGTAGATATTTCTTTGCAATATCAGTTACAAGGCAGAATGTCTACCTTGCAAATAGGTTACCGCACTTTAGCATCTTGAGAATGATGTTTCAATACATATCTGCCAAATGCAGATTGCAGTGTTGTGAGAGCCTGGTAAATTGATGACTTTAGAGTGGGGTGACTGGAGGACAGTATAAACTGTTGTGAATATACGATATTGTTGATGAAGGCTGTTTACTATACATTTTGCAACTGTACCCTATTCCTTTAGACCCAATGCTTTATCTTTTTCAGTTTGTAGTTACTGTGTAACTAGTTAGAGTTTAACAGCTCTATTTTTAGGGACAAATACACAATATATTAAAAATAAACTCTGGATGTTTCCTTTAGATTGCATTCTATCTTGTACGTGTTTTTGATCTTTCCCCCTGATTTGTTGCTTCTGATGTTTTCTTGAAAAACAGGATCATTGTCATCTAGGATTTCATCACTTCCAGATGTTTTTTCTTCACCAAAAGTCATAATCCTCTGCTTTTGACTTCACCATTAATTGCTGTGGAGATGTCTATGATCTTGCAAACAGAAGATTAAGATTTTTGGGTGAGGAACAAACCATGGAAATTGAAGTACTCTTTAGAAATAAAGATTCTCTTTTCATGCAAAGATTCCTAGTTTAAAAAAATGTTGGGGGAGAAATATAAAATATAAACAAATTGTGTCTAATCAAAATATTCTTCAAAACTTTCCATGAAGTATCAGCAGTTCTTCCAGTTTGTCAAAGAGCAAATTCTATTCACCAGAAATTGGTTCATGCTTATGAAAAGTCATTTCAACCTCAAAAAATAACTTTATTAAAAAATTTTAGGAAGGAGGAAAGTTGTCGAGACTGATAATAATCCTCTCAATAATTTCTGTTTTGACAAATCAACATTTGCTGATGAAAAACTTTTTGTCAGAACATTTTCAATCATCTTTAGTAGAAATATGTATCATATGACAAGCATGTTACGTATTTTGCATGTTTTAGTGCTTTCCATCTGTTGATTCTCATTGTGTGGTACAAACGTTAATGAATTTAGCCTCATGTTGTGCATTTGAGATAGGCAAGTTTTATAAATCTACATTTTGCAGACAAGGAAACTAAGGCATAAAAACATGAAGGCCCAATTCAGCAACCCTTACTCATGTTGAGTAGCATTTACTCTTGTCAGTGGCTATATTGAAGCCAATGAAAATCGGGCCATAAGTGACTTATGCAAAGTCAGCATTTCCATGGCAAAATCAAGAATATATACCAGATCACTTGGGTGTGTCTGAGTCCTGTATGCTGATCATTGTGCTTAGAACATATTTTTTCTTTCCTCGTAACATCCTAGTGCAAGTGTCTCAACTCTTTTTAAGGAAGGTGTGATGGGAAAAAAATCTATAGTGCTTGATTGACTATGTAATATATATATATATATATGCTTTAAGGAGAACCCCGCAAGGTGCTACCAGCCACATATGGTCATCAGATCTACCACTTCTGTCCAAATCTGTCACCAATGCCTGTGGCACTGAATGCTAATTTATATTATTCTAGCCCTTCTGCTATTGCCATTCCTGTATTCGTTGCCACGGCTGTCCCTTCCCCCAAACCAAATGCTCTGTGCAAAGATTGTCTCATCTCTGTGTTTGTTCGTCACCTAGCACAATGGTACTAATGGGGGCCTTTGGGAGCTACCATAATATAAATATTTACTGTTAATAATCGTCTCCAAAGCAGCAAAAGGAAGTCTTCATTTTTGAACAGTCCAATCTGACGTTGGCACTCGGCTGCACATTTGTAGGCTGAAGGGAAGAGTCCACATCCCTGAGCAAGGAGATGTAGTCTGTTTGGAAGTCATCAGCTCTATCCCTGATCTAGCTATCCAGTGACTCAGTCTGCATACACATCTGTATTGCTAGTGCAATTGCTCTCGACAATCCCTACTCAGTGTAATCATCACGCTCTTTGCTTCCTTCCCCCACCACTCCCTCCCTCGCCCCCTCCAAAAAACCCCAACCTTTCAACATAGTGAAGTACAATACAGAGTGATACAGAGCTCTTTCGATGACAGCTCCTCAAAGGCTCCTACTGTATATACGGATTTATACCTCACTCATAACCATAGTATCTGGAGCAGACCATGATGGGTAAAGTAAGGGATTCTACAGGAGTCTTGTTGTAGTATTGGAAGCAAAATCTCTTCTGCTCCTCTAATGGCTGCCTTGTATCCCTTAGGGTATTTTAGTCTCCTGGTGGCCCTCCCCAAGAATGGCGCGGGAGAACATTCTGTGTGCTCTTGACTTAGCAGATTCAGCTACTTTCTCCATGCTATCTGCCTTACTTTGGTCAGAGATCCAATCACTATGCTTGTGTCTGCCCAAAAAATGCCCCAACTCCACTGTCAGGGACTCCATTTTGATGTACGTTAAACAGGAGAAAATGTTTATTTGCATCATACAGAACATTTGAGGGAAAAAACATAAATCAGAAGGAGGGCAGTTTCATACACAGCCAGTACTAGGTAAGGCATCTTTAAACTGCCCCCTCACCTCTCAATTACAGAATATTTAAAGATTAACTGGATTTACAGCATTGTATAAATTATCTAGATGTGACCCTAGTAAGAGAAACAGAAGCCTGACAGGTTCGAAGAAGCTGTCTAGGCTTAACAAATCCTTTCGCATAAATAAAATACCACGTAGTGGCCTTTGTGTTTTGCTAGTGGATCTAAGTCACACTTTTAAAGTTTTGGTCCCTCCACTACAGAAGGGATGTGGACAAATTGGAAGGAGTCCAGTGGAGGGCAACGAAAATGATAGGGGGCTGGGGCACATGATTTACGAGGAGAGGCTGAGGGACCTGGGGTTATTTAGTCTACAGAAGAGAAGAGTGAGGGGAGATTTGATAGCAGCCTTCAACTACCTGAAGGGGGATTCCAAAGGGGATGTAGCTCTGCTGTTCTCAGTGGTGGCAGATGACTGAACAAGGAGCAATGGTCTCAAGTTGCAGTGAGGGAGGTCTAGGTTGGATATTCGGATATACTATTTCACTAGGAGGAT